GGGGGGGGGGTATTCTTTGTTTTTGCCCCTGTGCTAGCTAGTTAGCATTTTCTACAATGAGGTGTTAATTGTGTAAAAATAACAACAAAACCCCACTGGTGCCTGTGAGGATGGGAGAGTGTCCTGAAGCAGGGGGCACTGACAGTGAGCTGGGTGATGAAGGGATGTGCAGTGCGGGACCAGGCCCTGCCCGGGCCTCCGGCTTCTCCACCAGAGTGTCCAACCCAGTGAAGGAGGCAGCCCCCCCTCCACTCCTTGCAAGGGGGCTGGGTCAGGTTCTCACTTTCTCAGGGTACCTCCCCTAATAGAGATTTCCATGGGCCACATTAGAAACCCAATCCTAAATATTAACTTGATATGCAACTTAGCAGTAACCAGAAAGCCAGAGTCCCCAAACCACAAATTGGCATTTTGCTGTAATCGTCATTTTTAATAATGTCCCTCTCCTTCCTGGGTTTTAAAATTCACATCTTTGAATATTAATCCTGCATTAACAATCCCCAAATTCAGCATTTCATATTTAACTGCTTATTTAAATGGAATTAATTTGTAACCAATTGTCTTCAAATATGCAAGGTAATTTAAATAAATGCCAAAAGATAAGAAATATGCTTATCCTGAATAACCAGCTGATGTAAAATATGGACCATATTTCTCTCTTAGACAATGCCATGAAAGTCCTCTGTAACTCACTACGCCGGCCCAGGGCTCCTGGCCACAGATTCTGCTGGTTTGAGAGGGAACTGTCTTATGCCAGTAAGGCATCCCCATCACGTTATGCAAACTTGATGGACGGGCAGTCGCTGGCTCAAGCCACCTGGGCCCCCACCCCACCCCATGTCTCTCCCTTCCTAAGTCAGTCTGCCTGTCTCAAGAAAACCTGCCCTAAAGTCCACCTCTTCAGATGCTAATGAAGATCTCCCACGTCTGACTTTGCTCCCAGCCTGGAGGAACCAAGCGCTCCCGGAGCCTTAGTGCCTGCGGTCCACAGGAAGATGTCTCAAGTCCTCTTTAATGCAGGGCTACCCTCCTCATCACAGCTTCCCCTAGCCACAGCCCACAAAGCAGTCCCCCCACCATGCCCTGGGACCCCAGACTTAGTACCAGGCCCACAGACTACCCCCTCCTGCTCCCTTGGTCATAATCACACCAAGCCACACCCTGGGTGAGCCCAGCAGCCCCAGGCCACAGAAGATCCCTCTGCCTCTCTCAGGCCTCATGGGTGTCTACCACCCCCACCCCATCTCTACCCATCTGTTCCCTCTCACCCATCTCTACATCCCCACCACTGTGAGATCCCACACACTCCTGCTGTGGGCAGCAGAGGGCCTGGCCCTGATCTGGGGAGTCTGAGGGGGGTCTGAGGCCAAGGCTGAGTCCATGTGGGACAAACCGTGAGGCAGACAACCTAAGGGGCAATACCTGGAGAGAAGGTCACAGGCAGACTGCCCAGCTGGACCAGGGCTCAGGGGGTCTGGGATGGGTAGACATGAGGCCAATGTTCTATTACGGCTCCCCCTCCTTGCAGGCCAGGCATAGGGGCGGCCTGGGATGGCCATCAGAACAAACCAAGAGGCCACACCTGAGCTTGTGTCAAAGCAGGAGGTTAATTGAAGACCCAAGATGGGAGGTGTTTCAGAGATGTTTAAAAGGGTCAGGAAGAAAAATTCCAGGAAGAAGTTGTTTCATTAGGGCAGTGAGAGGTGACAGGGGAGAGCAGTTGACTACTGGAAAGTAGGACGACAGCAAGATTCATCTTGCTTAGGAAACAGGCTATTATTATCCATAGAAAACAGCTGGAGTTGCACTCAGCAGGCAGGTGAACGCAGTTGCTGAGACTTAGTGGCCCTTGAGGACAAGGTCTCTCCCCAGCCTGGCACAAAGGCTGGGAGGTGGCAGAGTCGAGGTGCTGGCAGCCTGGGTGGGTGGGAGGCAAGGAGCTGAGCTGCAGCCAGACCTGAGGAATACAGGTATGACCTTACACAGGGAAGGAGCTGGGCAGTGGGTGGAGGCAGAGGCCAGGGCCCAAGTTGGTGGCCTCAGCATGCAGGGTAGGGGGCCCCAGCCAAAGGCTCCTGCCCCAGTGGAACAACTCCTGAGGGTGGAGTTACATGAAGGGGGACACAGTGAGATGTGAGGCCTGGAGAGAGAAGGCATGGGGGGACAAAGAGGGAAGGGAACACCACAAGCAGGTCAGGGGACCCCACAGCAAAGACAGGTGCCAGGAGTCTCCCTTGCAGCATGTCAGCCAAGTCAGAGGCCTCAGCTAGCAGCCTGACATGTGGATGTGGAAACTAATCCACCCAGCACCCAGCCCAGTCCACCAGCTGAGGGACCTGGGGAGCACCCCACAGTCATCCCCCGTGGTGACCAGACCATGAGATGGAGAGGTACCAGCCCAATGCCTAGGGCGATGGTGCAAAATGAAGGCAGTTCCTGGCTATACAAATAAAGCCTCCAAATGCTGCCCATATCAGGTGTGGTGATTTGCAGAGCACAGGCTCCTCCGGGCTCTTGGCAAAGGCTACAGTGACTCAGGGGAGCAATCATGGACAGAGACGGGGGTCTGCTTACTGGAGGGAGAGATCGGAGCTCACAGCAGGGAATCCTGTCAGTGGGGTGGGATGAGGCCTCCATTTCATGCCATTCACTGATGGCGTCCCTCTGTCAGCCTAGGGCAACCTCACAGAGCACCTAGCAGAGCTCTGCTTTGGGGGGTCACATCCCAAGCTGCCACCCAGGAACCATGCTCACCACACCACCCACCGGACCTGGTCCTGGTGGTGCTCAGCATCCTCTGCAGCAGAGACCCCTGGAGGAGGCAAGCAGAGACCCCACAGCTGAGAAGCCCCACTGCTCATTGACATGCAGGAATCTTGTCATCAGTGATCCTGGAGTCCATCTGGCCCACTGCACAGACTGAGGCCAGAATGGCAATGGGATTTGACTGGAGTTTGCTTGCAGGCAACGGTTTACTGAGCACCATGAAATACCATGGCCAGTATTTCAACAAGCTAGGCTAATCACTGCCCGACGTGGGACGCAGGGCTGCTTTGGGGGAACTCCCGAGAGAATGCGGAGAGTTGTGCAATAAAAGAAGCAACCCTGAAACCCACTCCCCCTGCCCCATCGCTCTGATCACTGGGGGAAGTGATACATATGTATGAGCTCATAATCCTTCCTAATCACCCTACATCACACATACGCACAGATTCCAACAGCTCAGGCTCATACATAATTATAAGGCGCATTCTCCATCACTGCCTCAGTCCACCAAAGTACAACAGAGGACACCAGGGCTGCAAAGTATGTACGGTGGGGAAGGGGACCGAGGACCCAGGTGCAGGAGCATGGGCCAGGAGCTGTCCACTGTCCAAGCCCAGTAGACTTGAAGGACAGCGGCCTCCTCTTGAGGGCTCATGGCTGGCAGAGGCCACATCCCTGGGGCCACAGGACAAGGGGTGACAAGGAGGAGAAGGTACCACTCTCCTGCCTGGAGAGGCCTAGAAAGGGGAACTGCTTCTCAAGCGGAGTTTGGGGGCTCAGCCTGGAGCTAAGTTGGGGAGGGCAGGTCAGGGGGCCCCTACCTGGGACTGGGGCTGCAGGAAACAGGGGAGTTGTCGAGAGCCAGGCAGGGAGAGGTCAGTGGCAAGGACTAAGGGGAGGGGGCTGTATTGCGAAGGGTGTGATAAGAACATAGACTGCGAGAGCTCAGAGCAGGGCTCTAGAGAAAAAACAGCCGCCCCTGCTGACACACTCAACCAGGGCTCCCTAAACACTTTCGTTATGGGGTGCAATAAAGGGTTACTCTTTCTTAAAGTAAAAGACAAGGGGATTTGGGGCAAATTAATGTTCTAAACATCTCCTCAAAACGCCCAATCCGACTCCTTTTTAGAATCCTCCTGCTTGTGTATTTCGTGTCTCATTTGTACACTGGGAAAGACCTATAGTGAGGTGGGAGTTCGTGGAGGATGGAGAAAGAGAGTCCCCGGGCCCCCCCGACTCACTTGCTGATGCCTTCGAAGGAGGCTTCCATGGAGACCCTGCCACTGTCTGTGTTGATGCCACGCTGTGGAGAAAGAGAGACAATGAGAACACAGACGTGCCACACAGGGCCATGACAATGAGAACACAGACGTGCCACACAGGGCCATGCGGCATCCCCATGGCCTGAGGGCCCCCTCCAGCCAGGCTCAGGATGGGTGAGAACAGGGAGCCCCCACCCCAGCCCAGCAAACCCATCCCTTCCTGCCTTTCCTGACAAATGAGTCACCTAGCCAGGTAACTCCAAGCCAGGTGGGCCCTTCTTTCTCTGCTGCAGCTTGAAAATCAGAGGAAGTGGGGGCACCACACGCCCTGCAGTGTCCCGGGGCCTCCTCCGTGGACACAGCAGAGCACTTTGCTGACACCAGCCAGGCTGCTTGGGCACAGGCAGGAGTCAGGCAAGAAAAGCGAGGACCCAGGATTACCCCCTACCCCCAATCTGCCCTCCCCTGGCTGGCTGCTCTCTCTCGCATGCACACACTCCCCACTAACAACACGAGGCCCAAGAGTACTGTCAAGCCCAGCCCTCCCAGAAAGGCGGGCAGCACCCACTTCAGGCAGGACTGCTGTGAAGCTGGGGTGCATTCCTCTCCTTTTCCTAATTGTAAGAAGACTCCACATGGAGCTCGGACAGCAGTGGAGACAAAATAAGGGGTTCAGAGAAAAACACGCCATCCTCAGAGAGGCAAGGCATTTTAAATCACCGCTTCTTTCTTAAGAAGTTCAGGTCGATGTCTAATTGTACACCCAAATAAAACACACTGGGCTTTCTGTGACCACAGTCATCTAACGTAACCTGCCTTCTCAGCCATCAAAGCAGCAGAGTGGAAAAAAAGAGACCAAGTGCTAAAAAAAAAAATGACCAAGAAAAACTATTTTTGTAAAACTCAATTAACAAAGGAAAGAAGGGTCACTTTGGGAGGAAGAAGGCTTGCGTATATGCTTCATCTATGAAACTCCCCAAAGACGTGTAAGAAAGCATGCTTCCTCTCTGAGGGCACCAGGAGCCCAGCACGCACCCCCGCCTGCCCAAGGTTGTGGCAGGCCCTCAGACTTTCACTGTACCCCCAGCACAGCTGACTTGAAGGCAGATGCCAAGGGGGCTGTTTTTCAAATTCTATTAAGAACAGAGGAGACACAGGGTGGGAGTAAACTGATACTCTACATCCACAAGTCCCATGAGCTCAGCCTGACACAAACACATCTTCCAGACGGTTTTAACCCCTGGAGGAGGTGTGGTGTCTTGTCCACCATGGCCTCATGACAGGACACAGCACATCCCAAGGAGACTCAAGGACATGGGCCTGAACACAGTCAGCCATTCAGACTGAGCAGGTGTCACTAATCACTGGTGACCATTCCTCTCGGTTTCCTAATCCTCCCCATGGTCTCACTCTCTGCAGAGGGGCAGGTGGCTCCCTAAAACCCCTCTCCTGTGTCTAGTCCCTGGACACTAGCACTTACCAAAGTCAAGAGTACAGAGGGCTTCTGGGATGTCAGGACACTGGCAATCTGGAAGATCAGAAAAAAAAAAAAACTTTAGAGTAACCACGAAGAAGTATGATAAAGAAGATATACCATCATTAATAATGACGGTGTTCATTTATTGATCCTTAAAACAATGTTGTTGTCCCAACCCTGCAGATGAGGAAACTGAGGCTTACAGAGGCTGAGGGATTTCTGACAGCCACACAGCTGTCAAGTGGTAGAGGGGGATTCAAACCTAAACCTGGCATGCTGCCCACCACACTGCCCTGACTTCAGGCATCACACATCCTTGGCTCCAAACAGCTGGACCTGCCCACCCTCCAAAGCCAACACCTCTGCCCATCTGCCAAGTATTTCCTGAAAGCCCTATCCCCACACCTCCTTAGGCACTGACCCCACCAGCCTCCCATTCCCAGGGCAGAAGCCTCTCTCCCTGCCCCCCATTCATCTCCTAGCTGAGGGAAGTCAGCCTGTCCCTGCTCCCCACCGGCCCCCACCCTGTGCCCTATTCCCCATCCTTCCATCACAGCCCACCCAGGTCTCCTGCCTCTGCAAGACAGTTGCTTCCTACTTCAACCCCTTGCAAGCCATACAAGCTCCTCTCTCCACACCTCTGCTTGGGCTCTTACCTCTGCCTGCAATGCCTTCTCCCCATCTTAGCTGCTTCATCATTTGTACTCAGGATTGAAGCCCCCAGCCCCCCAGGCAGGTTTGGTCACTCCCACTTCTACCGACCGACAGTCAGCATTCCCCTGGCAAAGCACCCATCACACTGCATTAGCCGTGACAGCTGCACCCCAAGGGTGCTGACCACCCTGCTGGGAGCAATTTCTTCCTCTCCCAACCCACTGCAGACCCTACTATATCTGAGCCCCTAGTCCATGCCCCTCCCCACAACCTGACCCTAAAGTCTTTGACACCTCAACACAGGGGGAGAACAAGGAGAACGTGCTGCCGTTGTTAACACTTGATTGAGCTATCACTGACATATTCTATACCACACACTTAATGTGGACATTTTGATATGTTTTGACATATGTATGTACAAATGCCTTTTTTAATACTGAGATGTTCCCAGAGAAAACATCTGGAAAACTATAAAAAGATAAAATGCACGTACAATCCCATCCCCAGAGACTTTTTAGCTCTGCACATAAAAACAGATTTGTAATGACATTTGGATCATATGAAATTACATGCTTCACTTATTTCCTGTCATTAAACATTCTTCAAACATGCAATTTTCAGCAGTCGCTACACTGGGGATGGTGGATGTCCACCGCATCCTTGATTTCGGCCTGTGTCACTCAGCTCCCACACATCATCTCATTTAACCACCCGTGGAGATGGTGCTGCGAATGCCCGGATTTCACAAATGAGAAAGCTTGCGTGTGAGAAAACTTGCCCAAGTTCCCAGTTAAAAAATAGCAGAGTCGGGCCGGCCTGGTGGCGCACTGCTACAGTGCGCCGCTTGGGAGCGTGGTGGTGCTCCCACCAAGGGTTCGGATCCCACATACAGACCGGTTCCCGCTCACTGGCTGAGCGAGGTGCGGGCGCGACACCGAGGGCTGCGATCCCGTTGCCGGTCCGGTACGGGCGCGACACTGAGGGTTGCGATCCGTTGCCGGACACGAAAAAAGACAAAAAGGAAAAAAAAAAAAAAATAGCAGAGTCCACATTTGAACCTATGGCCATACAGAATCTCTCTCTTAACAGACATGGCATAATTTCACTCTTCTGGACACTTCAATGATTTCTAGTGACTATTATAAATAAATAATGCTATGATGAACACCCATGTACATAAGGGTTTTGTTTCCTTAAAATTAAATTCCTTAAAACATTTATTTCCTTTAAAAAAAAAAATCAAATTTTCCCCAGGTGAGCTGCTGGGTCAAAGGCCATACACTCTGTGAAGGTCTGTGATACAGACAGTGACCATCCAAATAGGGACTAACCACCCTCCCACCAGCCGTGCACGAGGCTGCATCTCCCTGGACCCTCCCTCACTTACTCAGTAACTGCTCTAAGAACAACTGAGTCCCTCAGCCTCTGTGTGGTACCAATGGAAGGCCTGGCTGAGTCTCTCCACTCCCCAGCCCCTCCTGGAGGAGGGGAAGGCTCATTAAAAGGAATGGAGCTGCACGTGTCAGGCCCTGGGTGTGTTGTTACGTTGCCATGAAGGGTCCACATTCATCAGCACAGAACGATTCCGTCAATTATGGCAGCAGAATCCGAGAGCAAGGAGGCACATGGGGATTGTACCTGCTATTGTCCTTGGGAGAGAGCAGCAGGATGACAAATGTGCAGGCTGATGGTTTTTCTCTCTGCAACGACTCTCGGGATGTGCTGGTTAGGGATAATGGAGGAGAAAGCAGCCCTCTCCACGCTGCCTGATGCTCAGCCAGGCCGAGGCCAACACAGCGAGCAGGCTGTGCGGCTGCTAGTGCAGGAGGGCAACATCCTTTATTGATCACAACTGCTTGAGTGGGCCCTGGTTACCTCTGTGGCTGCAAACTCTCCCGGCCTGGCAGCTCCATCTGTCCTTCCCCACAGAGACACATTAGCACTCCACTCTCATCAGCACACCCTGATTCCGTGCCTCAAATATTAAGGGAACACAACGCGGCTGCGTCGCTGGCTCGACATGCGGCCCCAGAACACACAACAGCATGGTTCTGTCAACCCAGGGCCTTGTTTCCACAGAGCAGTGCCCGCTGGGGACCCATCAGCTCTCACAAACCAGTGCTGTTAAATGCCCCTGACTTGCTTCATGCCACAGCCACATCGATTTCCCAGGCAGCCTGGCCTCCAGAGCAGGTCAAAGTGGATGGGCACATGCAGAATTAATCAGAGCCATGGATGTGGCTCCTTCCCTGGGGACAACAACAGGCTTTCCATGGACACCTCCTGTGCTTTCCAACCTTGGCCTGGGACCAGGCCTGCAGGCTGCTCTCTGCAGGGTGATGATCCAGAGAAGGGCGCCATGGATGTGGCTCCTTCCCTGGGGACAACAACAGGCTTTCCATGGACACCTCCTGTGCTTTCCAACCTTGGCCTGGGACCAGGCCTGCAGGCTGCTCTCTGCAGGGTGATGATCCAGAGAAGGGCTGGACACGCCTTCACCAGTGTAGTTAAGAATGCCTGCATGGCTCCAGAGAGCTGGGATTCACCCTGCAAGTGCTGGAACTTTTGAAAATAAACCATCTTTAGTGGCAATCTCCTGAAGCAGTAGTGCACACTGGTGACCTGCACTGTTTTTAAAATTGTGAATTTGTTTCTAAAATGTAAACAGGAAACATCACAAACCATCTGGATGTGCAGCTACTCTTGAATACTCAGGAGTATCTGACAGCCCTGGGCCGGCAGTCCTGCAGAGCAGCTGCCCCTCAGACCCACCATTCCCTGATGCCTCTCCACACCTAGGCTGACAGGCAGGTCATCCCTGTGCTGCTGCGGTTGTCTTTGTCTCTCTTATACCCATCCTACCTACATCTGAGTCAGTGTCCCTGGTACCTTCTAACAGCTGCCCAGTGCCATAAAGGAGAGCAAGTGCAGAAAGGCACCCTCCCCCTCAACAGCCCCCAGTGGGAGACACGCACCAGCCTTTGCACCGGGCCTCAACAATATTGCCTCAATGCACCTGTCAAGGTTCTCCTGTGTGCCCCCTCCTCAGGGGAGGCACCTTCCCAATAATTAAGCTTGGGCTCATCTATGGGGAAGAGAGAAACTAGAGAGCCAGGTCAGTTACATCAGATACCTGCATTTCCTACGTGATATCAAGTGACCAGCCATGGCCTGGGGGGGCTTCCTGCCTTCTTTCAGAGGAGACAAGTGTCAGCTGCTGTGATTTGTCACAGATGGCCGGGCTGCCCAAAGTTAGATGGGGCTGAGTACCATAGAACTGGCCTGGGGAACCCCAACCTGTATAAGGGGCTTCCGGTTGCCTTCCATGATGGAGCAGGCCCTGGGTACCTCTAGCAAACTGTAAACACCTCCCAGCCCAGCAAGCTTGGTCCAGCAGTTTACACTTTTGGGTGGGCTCCCTTTTGAGCCACAGAAAATCAAAGGTGCTTGAGAGCCTGTGTCACCTCCACAGAAGTGTTCTGTAGCAGCCCCTCATTTCTGACAGGGCAAGTGCAGGGCTGGAGGGCAGGGCCTCTGGGATCCAAATGTCCTGGACGAGGCCCTTCACCTCTCTGAGCCTTGGCCTGCTCATCTGTAAATGGGGTGAGAGCTGTGGCTCACCACAGGATGGGGCAGGAGGGAAGAGGGGGGTCTGTGTGAGTGTGGATGTTACTGGAGCCTGCAGGTGCTGCCCAGAGTGAAGCGCCTGTCAACACGAGCCTTTGTCCCCATAAGACCAGCAGTACGAGTAACAACAAAGCTGATCCACAATGATGATGAGGATGGGCCGCAGTATGCTGCCGAGTCTTAAAGAGATTCTGTCCTTTGAACTCCACTGAAGCCTTCATTTAAGATTCTGCCTATTAATAAAGATTAAGAATAAGCTGGTCTGTGTATTGCCATTCTACACTGCCACCGAGGACTTCTGTGTTCTGACCCTTAAGACTTTCTTTATCTTACTGCATTTGGAGACCAGTCCTCCTTCCTCTCCCCAGAAATTGCCATATAAATGGAGTTGAATTTTCTCCCAGTTATATAAATAAAAATGTCAGACAGTGGCTGGGTAGGCTGCAGAACAGAGATGGCTCTGACTCACAAGCTGAGTAGGGGTGGGGCAGGGCCCATCTCAGCAGCTCCCTCCAGGTTTCACATTGAGGAGACCTGAAGGGTCAAGGTCTCAAAGGGCGATAACGTTAAGATGCAGTTTATTGGGGTGGAGATACACCTGCCAAAGGAGAGGATCAGAAACAGAATAAGAATTAAAGACGAGCAGGTCCCTCCCTCTCTAGTACTTAGAAACACAAGGTATGTGGCAAATGACCTCCGTAGGGGCATGCAAACAAANCTAGTGCAGGAGGGCAACATCCTTTATTGATCACAACTGCTTGAGTGGGCCCTGGTTACCTCTGTGGCTGCAAACTCTCCCGGCCTGGCAGCTCCATCTGTCCTTCCCCACAGAGACACATTAGCACTCCACTCTCATCAGCACACCCTGATTCCGTGCCTCAAATATTAAGGGAACACAACGCGGCTGCGTCGCTGGCTCGACATGCGGCCCCAGAACACACAACACCATGGTTCTGTCAACCCAGGGCCTTGTTTCCACAGAGCAGTGCCCGCTGGGGACCCATCAGCTCTCACAAACCAGTGCTGTTAAATGCCCCTGACTTGCTTCATGCCACAGCCACATCGATTTCCCAGGCAGCCTGGCCTCCAGAGCAGGTCAAAGTGGATGGGCACATGCAGAATTAATCAGAACCATGGATGTGGCTCCTTCCCTGGGGACAACAACAGGCTTTCCATGGACACCTCCTGTGCTTTCCTAACCTTGGCCTGGGACCAGGCCTGCAGGCTGCTCTCTGCAGGGTGATGATCCAGAGAAGGGCTGGACACGCCTTCACCAGTGTAGTTAAGAATGCCTGCATGGCTCCAGAGAGCTGGGATTCACCCTGCAAGTGCTGGAACTTTTGAAAATAAACCATCTTTAGTGGCAATCTCCTGAAGCAGTAGTGCACACTGGTGACCTGCACTGTTTTTAAAATTGTGAATTTGTTTCTAAAATGTAAACAGGAAACATCACAAACCATCTGGATGTGCAGCTACTCTTGAATACTCAGGAGTATCTGACAGCCCTGGGCCGGCAGTCCTGCAGAGCAGCTGCCCCTCAGACCCACCATTCCCTGATGCCTCTCCACACCTAGGCTGACAGGCAGGTCATCCCTGTGCTGCTGCGGTTGTCTTTGTCTCTCTTATACCCATCCTACCTACATCTGAGTCAGTGTCCCTGGTACCTTCTAACAGCTGCCCAGTGCCATAAAGGAGAGCAAGTGCAGAAAGGCACCCTCCCCCTCAACAGCCCCCAGTGGGAGACACGCACCAGCCTTTGCACCGGGCCTCAACAATATTGCCTCAATGCACCTGTCAAGGTTCTCCTGTGTGCCCCCTCCTCAGGGGAGGCACCTTCCCAATAATTAAGCTTGGGCTCATCTATGGGGAAGAGAGAAACTAGAGAGCCAGGTCAGTTACATCAGATACCTGCATTTCCTACGTGATATCAAGTGACCAGCCATGGCCTGGGGGGGCTTCCTGCCTTCTTTCAGAGGAGACAAGTGTCAGCTGCTGTGATTTGTCACAGATGGCCGGGCTGCCCAAAGTTAGATGGGGCTGAGTACCATAGAACTGGCCTGGGGAACCCCAACCTGTATAAGGGGCTTCCGGTTGCCTTCCATGATGGAGCAGGCCCTGGGTACCTCTAGCAAACTGTAAACACCTCCCAGCCCAGCAAGCTTGGTCCAGCAGTTTACACTTTTGGGTGGGCTCCCTTTTGAGCCACAGAAAATCAAAGGTGCTTGAGAGCCTGTGTCACCTCCACAGAAGTGTTCTGTAGCAGCCCCTCATTTCTGACAGGGCAAGTGCAGGGCTGGAGGGCAGGGCCTCTGGGATCCAAATGTCCTGGACGAGGCCCTTCACCTCTCTGAGCCTTGGCCTGCTCATCTGTAAATGGGGTGAGAGCTGTGGCTCACCACAGGATGGGGCAGGAGGGAAGAGGGGGGTCTGTGTGAGTGTGGATGTTACTGGAGCCTGCAGGTGCTGCCCAGAGTGAAGCGCCTGTCAACACGAGCCTTTGTCCCCATAAGACCAGCAGTACGAGTAACAACAAAGCTGATCCACAATGATGATGAGGATGGGCCGCAGTATGCTGCCGAGTCTTAAAGAGATTCTGTCCTTTGAACTCCACTGAAGCCTTCATTTAAGATTCTGCCTATTAATAAAGATTAAGAATAAGCTGGTCTGTGTATTGCCATTCTACACTGCCACCGAGGACTTCTGTGTTCTGACCCTTAAGACTTTCTTTATCTTACTGCATTTGGAGACCAGTCCTCCTTCCTCTCCCCAGAAATTGCCATATAAATGGAGTTGAATTTTCTCCCAGTTATATAAATAAAAATGTCAGACAGTGGCTGGGTAGGCTGCAGAACAGAGATGGCTCTGACTCACAAGCTGAGTAGGGGTGGGGCAGGGCCCATCTCAGCAGCTCCCTCCAGGTTTCACATTGAGGAGACCTGAAGGGTCAAGGTCTCAAAGGGCGATAACGTTAAGATGCAGTTTATTGGGGTGGAGATACACCTGCCAAAGGAGAGGATCAGAAACAGAATAAGAATTAAAGACGAGCAGGTCCCTCCCTCTCTAGTACTTAGAAACACAAGGTATGTGGCAAATGACCTCCGTAGGGGCATGCAAACAAACGTTCAGTCTATTTTAGATCCTATACCCAAAGCGATCAATACAATAGGTTGGTCACATGAGTTATTAGACTCTTTAGATGCTGAGTCACCCCTAATAGCTTGGTACTAAAATCACACGACATGAAGATCCATCAAAAGCCCCCTTTCTCCATGGTCCAACCAGGCAGAAGGTGCTGCAGTAACAGGTCCCCATGGCCCCCAGATGTGAGTGGTGCTCCTTCACCAAGGCCCTCCCAGGGAACCCTGACCAGCACCCCCACACGTCCCTGGGCAGGAAGAGAGTGCAAGAGGAACATCTGGGGGAAAAGAACTGGGCCTTTATGACAAATACAAGACAGTAAAGGGCGGCGTGCAGATCAGACACAGCCAGTGTCTGCAATGTGCTCAACTTATTCCAAGAGTTCAGGGGAGAGGCACCAGTGTGGACCAGCATTAGCAGAAGATGGAGTGGGCTGCTTCAAGGCCCTTAAGAATGGGTAGGATACAGACAGACAGGCAAGAATGGCATTCCGGGACAGGAGAGCTGGGGTCAGGACCGTGCCTGCCTGTGTACAGGTGGTCGTGAAGCTGGCTGCTTGTGGTCAAGGTCAGCTGGCTGCCCCCTCCCCCTCCGGGCTGGCTGGACTGGACAGAGATTGACTGGTTCCTCACAGCACTGTGTGGCCCACCAGGAGCCCTGGGAACCTGCCTCCACCCACTGCTGTCATCCCCCAACATAGGCTGTGTCCTGCCTAGGGAAAGGGAAGCTGCTTAGCCTCCAGCTTGCTGGCTCCCCTGGCCACTTCCACTCTCAGCTCATGTCCACATACGACCTCTGTCTGGGGAAATGTGGCCATGGGGAGCCCCATCCAGCTGATCCCACCAGGTCCAGATTGGACCTCCAGCGGCAGGCTCTAACTTCTGGGTGCTTCACATTCTACCCAGCACTGGCCTGCACAATGGCCAGGAACAGAGCAGAGAGGACTCCTGAGTGCCAGGCAGTGGCTGCAGTGTCAGGGGGCCTTGGTCACTCAGGTCCTTTCCCCTGCCTGGACTCAGGATGGATTCAAAGCCCCAGGAGGACAGTCATACACCTACCTAGGCCACATGACACCTTGTATTAGTCCTTTTTGTGTTGCTATAACAGAATACGTGAGACTGGGTGACTTATAAAGAAAAAGGAAATTTACTGCTTACAGTTTCTGAGGCTGGGAAGTCCAAAGTCCATCTGGTGGTGGCAACAGTGACCCAGGGGTCTCACATTGCAAGATGGTGGAAGCAGAGGGACAGATAGCGAGAGGAAGACAGACTCTCCTCTTCTTTTAAAGCCCTCAGAGCCATGCCCCTGACCACCATTTTTAATCCATTCACTACAGCACGATTCTACAATCCAATCACCTCTTCAAGGCTCCACCTTTCAATTACCATAATAGGATTTCCCACCTTCCTTAACAGTCACAGTGGGGGCCAAGTCTTGAATACATAAAACTTGGGGAACACAATTCAAGCATCACAATTCAAGGAGCTTTGGGGGGACATAATTCAATCCATCACACACCTGCCAGACAACCACACTGAGCAGTGGATTAGAGCCAAGGGACCTCCAACTCCACTCCACCACATCCCACAGGCCTCTCACAGCCTGGGGCTTTTTCAACAGAGGCATCTACAGCTGACAAGGGCTGTGGGGAGGGACTCCCAGTACACAGAGGCCCAGGCCAAGCCTAAGGTGACTTAAATCAGACCTGTGCCATCACTGCAGGCAGGCCCACCTCTCAGAGACTTCCTCCCTGCATCTCAGCGGCCATGACCCAGATCTCCAGACACTTTTACTCCCTGAGTCAGGGGCACTGCCCAGGCAAAGAAATAGCTTCCTCAGAGAGGCTAAAGTGTATGTTTCCTGCCTGCTCTTTCCAAACATGGCACTCCCGAGGTGGCTAGCAGCTGGGTGGTGGTGTCCCCTGACGTCCAGCTAGACTGTGGCAGTGGGAGGAGAGGGAAAGCAGAGGCAGAGTGTTACTGGGATCCCTGAGCTGCTCCGGGAGAGGAGTCAGCTGCTTACCTCATCTGCATACTGGACGTTGTCCACAGCATACTTCTCCCTGAAGTGTTCATTGGAGTGGATCCTCAAAGAGAAGCACAAGGAACACCAGGGTCAGCGCTTGGCAATGGTCAGGCACAGGCCACCTTTCCACCCAGCCCAGGCCATGAAGCCCCAGGCCCAGTCCTGCCACAGCTGGCACCCAGCATCAAGCAGGTCTGCCCAACACAGACCCAGAGGGCCAAGGGCACTGAGCCACAGAGTGACCACTGACCCACACCTGCCTCCCTCAGCATCCCCAGCTGACCTCTGCTCCCTTGTGACCCTGGCTGCCCACAGATGGCCCCTGAGGTCATCGCCCTCCATCACCAGAGAGCCCATGGGGTGACCAGCCAGTGTGGCCCACCCTCTGGGGCATGAAACAAGCTGCCTCCTGGTCTGTGATGGAGCCTCTTTAAAGGAAAGTTTAAAAATTAACATCTTAAAGAAGTCAATATCCATATTGCTCAACATGATGAGAAAAATTCAAGCTTACTCATTACCCCTAAAATATCAGCCGGTGAGAAAACAGACGGCAGAGGAGACTGGGCAGTCCTCACCTGCGTCATGACAGACCCCTGGGTCATGGCTACACCGGGCAGACCTCCCACCAAGGTCCAGCAAGCCACCACCCCACCCCCAGGCTCCTGGTCAGTAGATGAGTCAATATCACTGCGAGTGGCAGAGCTTACACGAGGAGGAACATGCACTGCACAGGGGGAGGGCATTGCGAGCCAAGTCCAATGATGCATGCAAATGCCATCCCATGCCATCTCACACCAGGGCACCACATCATCACAAGGGGACTTAACCCCATCCCTGCCCAACCCCAGACTGCCTATGATCTCACAGCATTATAGTCACCAGGTGTTAGATCCAAAAGAGGCCTCAGACAAAAAACAGCAGATGGCTTTCGGATTGTGCTTCCTGGGCCCTCAAGAGATGAGCAGATGAGGGGTGCAGGGATGCCCAGGATGACGTGCCTCAGGAGCCCCAGAGGAAACAGGGAAGGAGAAAACTGCAGGACTTAGAGGTGACTACCTTGAAGAGCAAGCTCCTGCATCCCAAGTGCCACTCTTGGCCTTTGTGACACTAATGTCCAGCAGTGCTGCCCAGGAAACAGAATCCCACTCCTCTCTCTAGCCCTCTACCAATTCCCTCTCCACCAAAACAAGCATTCAAAACCAGACTGCCAAGAAGTACAGACCATGGGACCCAGGGACAGATGGCAGGCTGCAGGGACCAGCAGCAGGGGGCTCAGAGACACATGCAGCAAGCAAGACTTGGATAGGAAGCTCACGACAGGCTGAGGGGACCATGGGCTCACTGAGATCAGTGCTCAATGCAACCCAGAATGCCCTTTGGGTTTTCTCCCTTTTGGTTTCTCTGAAGTGATCACTGGGTATCAAGCTCCTGCCGTTAATTTAATTTGCACAATTCAGCCAGGTTAAACTTCCACATTTCAGACAGCACTCAAAAGTTAAATGGCCAGGGTTTGACAACTCCATTAGCATGGCCTCAAACAGCTATAGGGCAGGAGCAGATGACAAGCACATTGCCTGGACTCTGGAGGCCCCTGCTGCAGGGCTTACTCTCTATGCAGCCAGCTTGAAGGGAGCTTGCAGACCCTTTGCTACCAAGCGGCAACCCTCTCAGCACTGAGCTGACCCTGCAGCCAGGCTCAAAGCCACGTGCCAGAAAAGCAAGAGGCAGGGCCATCACCATATCCACTCTGGCTGGCCCAGCTCCACAACAGATGCCCTGAATCCCCAGCAAGTCCTCACCCCCACCTCTAGCCTGTCACTTCATCACCTCTAGCTGTGTCAGATGTGGACCACAAACTCCGAACAGACTCTGAAAGTACAAAGACCTGCTTTCAAGGCCAGCCTCAATGCCTCTCTACAGAGGGGCATCTCGGCCCTTAGTGTGGCACCTGAACTTTTCAAGTCCACTCCCGAAATCTCCTAGCTGTCTCCCAAACTGAAATCTCCCAAACTGTCTTGTGGAGGGAAGCCATCTGGAACCATGTTCCTGCTCTTCCTGCCCAGGGAGTCTTGGCAGTGAGGCCTCATCAGAGTCTTAGGACAGTAGAGGCCTGGGGTCATCTCCATGCAGAAAGCCCAACATCAAGGGCTTAACAACATGGAACCAGAGGAGGTGGGGGCAAAGGGGAGATGAACACAGGGAAGCTGTGATCTGTGTGTGGGCCCAGGGCTGTGTGCTCACCTATCCACCCCTCACTTGGCCACAAGCCATACTACTAACCACATGAGTCAAGGAGGGGCAAGGACCAGCCAGCCCACGGAGAGCCTGCTACTACCAACTCAAAGTCCAAGTGGGGGCCGGCCCCCGGTGGCGCTCCCGCCGAGGGTTCGGATCCCACATACAGACCGGTTCCCGCTCACTGGCTGAGCGAGGTGCGGGAGCAGCACCGAGGGT